TCCACCGTCCCTTGCACGAGAAGCCGAGCGAGAGGCTGCACGGTTAGAAGAGAGGACGAGGAGGAGGCGAGAGACGCCGCCGCTGCCGCCGCCGCCGGCCGGCCGGCTCCCCGAGGGCGCTGCCCCCGCGGCTGCTCACGGGCGCTGAGAGGGGCTCTGGGCCGCGGCCGCCGCCGTCTCTCATCTCCCTCGCCTGAGCGCGGCCTCGCCTCACAGCGGCTCAACTCTCAAACTTCCATCATGGCTGCAGCTTCCGAGAGGAGAGAGCGGAGCGCAGCCGCGGCTCGGCGCCCCGGCGCGTATCCTGCCGCAGTGCACAAAGAGTCCCGCCACATCACCGCCCGCCGGCCCGCCCGCCCCCTCCGCCGCCGCGCCGGGAGCCCGGCGCCTGGGAGCCCGAGGGGAGGCGGGAGGCGGGCGCGACCGCGCCGGGGGAGGGAGGGACGCGGCGGGGCAGGGGCGGCAGCTCCGGGGGCGAGCGCCGGGCCCCCGGCCTGCGGGCGCCACTGAGCATGCCCAGTGCGAGCGCCCAGGGCTCGCTCGGGCTTGTGCGAGACGCCCGTCAGGAGCTGCACTTGCCGCGGCTGCTTCTGCAGCAGCGCGGGGCTGGCGGGGGGGGGGGGGGGGGGCGGGGGGGGGTTGGAGAGGGAGCGGGCGGTGGATGTAGAGGAGGGGGGAGATGAGCGGAGCCTCGGCCTGAGCCCACAAACCCGGCGGGGACAGGGACGGCCGAAGGTGGAAGCTCCGGGGTGCGTGGAGGGGTGTCACTGACTGGGGCCTGAGGTTACCTGTGCACAGGTGGGGAGGACCAGGTGACCCGCGCTGGTGGGGGTACAGGGAAACGAAGGCACGGCCCCTGCCGCGAGGGCACCCCTCCCCCCTGCCACCGCCCCCAGACCTCCCCGGCTCGGCCTTGCAGCCTCATCCTCCTTTTGCACCGCTGCCGGATCACGGTCGCTCGGGGCGACCCGCCTGCAGCAGCCTTTGCCGAGAAACCCTCCCTCCTTGTCCGCCCCCCACCCGTGTTCTCCAGGTGTCAGTCTCAGCACAAAGAACAACCCCCTATTGTGTCTCCGTGTGTATCACCTCATCCGGCTCCCTCTCACCGCCCCACCTCCCGCTTCCCCGGCAGCTCGGCTCCTTCGCCCTAAAAACGAGAGCTGGCAATCGAGCGCGCTGTGTGGGAGCACATCGCTCCCGAATTTCTAGATCCCCAAGGACCACTGCCCGCGTGGACCAAAAGAGGACCCGGGAGGAGGGGACCCAACCCGCAGCCCCCCGCATTGCCCCCTGGAGGGCTGAGCATCCCTCCCCTCGGGGCTCCAGCTAGGTTCTCCACGACGGGCTCGGGGCTCGGGGACTGCCTCGCCCCGCCCCTTTCGGGCCGCTGTGAAAACCCGGCCGGATGGATCGCCGAGGGCCGGCTTCCGCGCTCGCCCCAGCCGGGCTGCGCAGCCTGGCGGCCGGGGCTGCCCGGGGCCGAGTGTGAAATACGGGACGGTAGGAAGCGACAGCCCCTGCGAGTGGGCGGGGCCGAGGAGACCTAGGCGGGTTCAAAAGGAGGTGGAGGGATACGCGGGCCGCAGTCGGAACTACTTTCAGGAGGAGGTCACGTGTGTTCCTAGTTGGGGAACTTTCCAAATTCCCACTCCCCTATGATGGCTTGGGAAGCAAGTGCTTCGCCTCCTTCGCCCGGGGTGCTCCTGCCTGGTCCCGGTAGCGGGACCCCGAGCCTCCGGGTCGCCGCGGAAGAGCAGGCTCAGACGGGCCTCCGGCCCAAGCACGGTCGGTGCTGGCGCCTGGGAAGCTGGTTACACAAGCACCCACATTCAAGCACGTGCCCCCGCCTCCCCGCACCGCTGGCCGCGGTCGCCGATTCTCGCAGACCACCGAGGGAGAGCTCCTGAGCCGGTCCCACCCTTCGCGTGCTACCTGCCGAGCAAGCTGAAGGGCCAAGACCCGAGATCGGAGCTCCGGGTCGGCCAACACTGCGCGTTCCCAACCGTGGGAGAACGGGCTGGGCCCCGGGGGTCTGGCATCTCCCTCGCTAGCGCCCTGCCCCTTAGGGCGAGCCCTTCCGCGCTGTGCTCACAGGGCAAAAGGGTATCTGCTGCAGCAGCCCGCTGCTTGAATTCACCAGTGTTGCAACAAACTTCCAGTCACTACCCCAGAGCTGGTGAACGCGCCCCACCTACTGTAGACTCAGCCGAGTGACTTATCTGGTCCGAGAACCCAGTCAATGGCCGTCAGCCCAGAACAAACCTGTCAAGTCTGCCTACAGCCCCGATTGGTTGAACTGTCCCCGTGAGAGAGCTGGTTCAGAAATTCTGAGAACTGGAGCGCATTGCCCTGACACTGATCAGCTGCAAAGTGAGTTGTCCGGTTTCTGCTTGAAGAGAATGAGCACCCCATCAACACGAATCTAGGAATTTCTTCCTTTTCCTTCCCCTGGGAAGTAGAACTCAAGCAGACAGTTGAGTCCAAAGTATCGGAGTTGAAACCTAGGCTGAGGCGCTGGATCGTTTTTCTTTTTTTTTTTTCTTTTTCTTTCTTTTTAAAAATCTGGGAGAATGGAACCAATTTGCATGTGTATTGCAGTAATTGTGAGTAGGTGCCTAGGAAGGTCTAAAAGGATTTATTCGGTGTCGGAGAAAGAAGATTGCGCATCACGGTTGCAGGCAGCCCCTTTAAGACTAGAAACCCCAAGAGAGCTTGCTTAGAAGCCACAGGCCATTACCTAATTCCAGGACTACTAATTAAACCAGGGATATTTACAGTGTTCTTACAGATCTCTGAGGCTCCATAACACTTTGCATTTATATACAACATCCTTTTAAGATAGCTCTGCAGGAGTTAGCAACCTGCTGAAGCTTCAGTGTGGATATTCATTGGAGGCTGTTTTCATGCACGGTCCTGGTCAGCTTGCAGGAGGTGGAGGCCACAAGTGGAAAAGGAAAGGGGGGTGGGGTGGTAATCTGGAAAGAGTAGGAGAAAGGCCTCCGTTTGGTTTCCAAAAATGAAAATCCTGTCCACACCACCTAGGTTGAGCCAGAGATTTATTTTACAAATAACCAATGATAAGGAGTCCCTGATTTCTAGGTGTTTCACAAGATGCAGGGTAAGAGACTGAGCTGTGTGTGCCCCCATTGAGTAGCAAATACCAGTTGGTGCGGAAAGGGAAAATGAGGAGGACGGTAAATGAAGGGAGATAGATTGGGAAGGGGTAAAATGCCCCACCTTTGTTTCTCTGGTTGCTGGTCTTGTCTCCAGAGTCCCTGCTGTTAGCGTGCCCTACTTTGCCCCTCCCCTGGAGCCTACCCTGTGTAAGGATTAGTCGCACAGCCTCTGCGAAGTTCTGAAATCCACTTCCTGGGAAGGAAATGGGTTCATTCCTGCCCCTTAGGCCTGAGGAGAGAGGCTGCTTTTCCATTCCCATGGCACAGAGTTATTCCAGAGCAGAGAGTGTGTGCACCACCAGCACCAAAGTGCTGGAATGTAAGACTGGCCACAGCACTCCCACTAGCAGAGGGAAGGAAATGGGACCTGAGTTTGCTGCCTCTGCACATGCGGTCCCTCTACTTCTCTCTAGTGGTGAACGAAAGGATCACCGCTGTTGGCCGACATCTGGCCAGCCTGACGGCAATATCAGGTAGTTACTAGGAGTCACCGCTTAAAAACCTCCACCCCTTACCAGTGTTCATTAAATAGGCTCCTGAAGGAAATTTTGTTTTCGATTTTTATTTTCCTTCACGTCTTCCTTCTACCCAAGAGATCTCCTTACCCAAGTGGTAGAGCTGAAACCTCTAAATAGCTGACCCTGTCTAATATACAGAAAGCTTAAAATCTATATGTTGTTTTTCAACTTCAATTGCAAAGAGCTGCTTGGCTGTACAGATGTTACAATACATTGGTTTCCAGGCACTTCAGTTCTTTACCTGTCTGGATTCAGAATGCCTTAGGGAGAAACAGAAGCTTGTAACAAAGGGAGAATTATATAAAGCTTCAGGGAGACTGACTATGTAGAATAATTAGTAAACATGATAAACCAGCTTTAATTATAGTTGCTAACAGCTGATTCCAAAACTATATTGTTACTACACCCAAAGAATGTCCAAAGAAAATAGCTTTCTTATTTTCTTTGATAAATGAAATGACCAGCAACTTGATGTGGCTGATATAAATAGTTGATATGCTCTTTGTAGATTCCACTGCTAAAATGTCTTTTGTTGAACACTGATTGCCATAACGCCTTTAACATCTCCCACACAGTGACCTTTCAAATAGAGATCTAAATCAATGGCTTTAATTTTTTAAGCAATCTTTTCTATTTTTATTTGTTTTACCACGGTTTTCTGAATAGTACAGAATAGAAAATATAATAATTATAGGTTTGAATTTAAACCACCCTATTTTTGCAAGGGTCCAAGTCTTCTCCCCTTATTTCATTTATCCTAATTACAAATATTGCTGTTCTTTTAAATAAAGGCATTTTACCCAAGACAGTTCTCCAGAAGGCACTACAAGTAACCGTATCCGAAAAAAGAATTTTCCATTCTTGCCCACAGGCTCTCCTGGAGCTCTTGCACATGGGTCTCCTTTCACATCGCAGTAGAGAGGTGTGCTAGATGAAATTCTCACTCTCAGAGAAATGAGGGTGGGGCTGAGAATTCCTGAGAGAACCACAGAGCAGAAACAGGCACTCACTGTGTCCAAGTGGCATTCAGAAATTGTGACTCGGACCAGAGAGATGGAAAAGAAAAGCCCGAACATGATCAATCCGTTTTGACTGTTTTACTCTCCAACCTGGCACTGGCTATTGGATATTCTGCCTTTAGTACTAACTCTAGCTGGAGTCCTATGGAACACATATTCTGCTTTTCAGCTCTGCCAATAATAGAAAAAGGTAATAATTTGTACGTACCGGCAGGTATTGGGGCATTTGCCAGGTGCTTTCCAGAGGGACCTTCTTTCATCTAGGCACAGGAGGGACATGGAGAAGGACTCAGGGGTGCCCCGTGCCTCACTCCTACCAGTCCTTCCCTTAAGAGCATCCTTGTGGCTTCTGAGGCATCACATTTTTTGAAAAATTAAGAGCACCTTTTTGAAAGATAAAGTAAGTGGAGGCCTCTGAGTGGTTCAGTCTGTTAAGCATCTGGCTTCAGCCTGGGTCTTGATCTCACGGTTCGTGAGTTCGAGCCCTGCATTGGGCTCTATGCTGGCATCTCAGAGGCTGGAGCCTGCTTCGGGTTCTGTGTCTCCCTCTCTCTCTGCCCCTCCCCTGTTTGTCTCTCTCTCTCTTAAAAATAAATAAATGGTAAAGAAATTTTTCTGAAAGATAAAATGAGACAAACTCTGTTTAAAGTATCTTTTTTTGTCTTTTTCATGGTGTGGCATCTTTTATCTCCATTCATCCACTTAATTATCCAGTCAACCAATATTTGGGAGTCTGTTATGTGCTAGTTCTGTGCTAAGCTCTGTGGACAGAGCAATGACTGTGGGTGGCATATGAGCTCTAGCTTTTATGGAATTTAGTCTCCTTGAAAACCTGGCTTCTTTATCTGACACGGTTACAACCTCTTCACAGCCTGTGGAGTGAAGTGAAAGCAGGAGAAAAAAACCTGATATTTGATAACGGCTTTATTTACCTATTGCTGTACTGCAAACCACCGTGAGCTTAGTGGCTTCAAAGAACCACCACCCCTTACTTTCTCACAATTCTACAATTTGGAAAGGCGCAGCTGGGCCGTTCCTCTGCCTTCCCATGCAGACAGTGCAGGGGAGGGGGCAGACGTGGGGGCCTTTAGCTGTGCATCTGGCTGGGGCTGGAACGGCCAAGACGGCTTCACCACCCCAGCTCCTTTATGCTTCTTTACAGGTTGGGTCCCAAAAGAGAAAGCAGAAGCTACAAGGCTTCCGAAAGCGGGGGTTCGGAAGTCCCGGAACATCACTTTCATGGCTCGCGGCCAGAGCAGGCCACAGGGCCAGCCCAGATGCCAGGGGACAGCAAAGAGACCACCTGGAATAGGACGAATTATGGGCGGTCATATTGGGACACACTCCCAACATAACAGTTCACACCTGCACACACCCACACGCTGACCTGCAAAATCCGCCCCGTCCCTCCCGGAAAATTGTCATTCTGCGTAGCGCCGGCTCTGAGGACACGCGCTAGGCCCAGGTGTGGATGAGGCATTTTAGAGGCTGCTCCGCTTCTCTGGAGACCTGTGAGCTAAAAGGACCAGTTCCATTCACAGCGGACAGTGCTGAGATGGGGCAGGGTAACCATGACACGAACTCGTGTCAAAGGCTGGCAACAGGGCAGGCACGAAACAACCACCATCCATAGCAGTCCCCAAAGCCAGCCTAGCACTGGCAGCCTCACTCTGGGGACCCACACCTCCAGCAGGGTCTGGTTCTTCTCTCCGGGAGCCTCCCGGACCACCGTTCTGGGCTCCCTGCGCTCAGGGGCAGGCTGTGACCTGTGAGGCTTCCTTTTCCATAAGACACTGCCTGTCCTTTACAGGGGGACGGCTTCTCTCAGCCTGTGTCCTATCCATAGAAACTTGGGGAGCCCAGTGGCTCTTTTTTACATTTAAACCGTCTCTTCTTTAGTTTAGGCTGGTGGTGGTTTCATCAATATAATTGTCATTAAAATGTTGTGGGTTTTCTAGGACTCTTATTGGAGTTTACTCCTTGCCCACAACAACTGTGCCCACAAAGCCACATCTATAATTCTTCCAAAAACAAACTTCTGCCTGCTTTGGGTCAAGGAAGCTGCTGTTGGACTCCTCTGAAGATTTCTTCTTAGAAGCCTTTCTGACTAGCTGAGAGGGTCTATGAGACAACATCTTAAAATGGTGACGGGCCTTAACGTAAGAGTCTTGATTGGATCATTACCTGGAGGCCACATTTAACGGGCCCCCTGAGGCCATTTCTTACTCTGAGGCTATTGCTGACTCAAGAGAATCTCCTAGGCCCTGTCTATTTCCTCTACATGCTGCTTGAAAACTGAATAGTTCCTTTTTTAACACATCTCTCTCTGGTAACACCATCACACATCACTAAAAGCCAGATGATACTTTGAACACTCAGCTTGAAAATCCCTGTTGCCAGATTTACAAGTTCATTAGGTACATTTTTCATCTTCTGTTTTGCTGCACACAAGGACGACCAAATATTTTGCCACCATATAGCACCGTTTCTCCAGCCTCTAATACAATTTACTCACCACTCTCAGAGCCTCCACTAAGATCCTCCTTCCCAGACTAAGGAGATGATATCAACTAAATGCAAATGCAGGATCCTAGGTTGGATTCTGAAATGGAAAAAGAACATCCCCAGAAAGGCTGGTGAAGTTCACTTAAGGTCTGTAGTTTACGTTAATTTCCTGCTTTGGGTAATTTATTATTATTAGGGCAGCTGGGTGAACTCTGGTACACGAACTCTATCGTTTCTGCAACTTTTCTGTAAGTCTAAAATTGTTTCAAAATAAAAATGTTAAAGACGAAGTTAATTTAAAAAAAAAAAAAAAAAAAAAGAGAGACAGAGAGAGAGTTCCTTCATCCTTCATCACCTCCGCAATCTCTACCCAATGCCTTGTCCCAAAGCTGATGCCTCGTGTTTTCAATTTTCTGTTTTTAGATTTTTGTTTAGATTTTTGTTGTGCCAGCACCCAACTTTCAGGCATCAATTTCTGTTATTTATTGTGCATAACACACTACCCCAAAATGTAGCAGCTTAAAAGAGCATCAACCATTTTCTTGCTCACCATTCTGCCATCTGGACAGAACATGACAGTGACAGCTTGTCTTTCCTTCATGGAGTGTCGGCTGGGGCAGCTTGACTTGGGCTAGAGGACCCAAGATGACTTGCACCACAGGGCTGGTGGTTCAGCTGGAGTGCTGCAATGGCGAGGGGCTGGACCGATCTCCCTCCTGAGGGTCTCATCCTCTAGAGGCATCTGTCAGGCCTTTCTCTTCCGCAAGGCGGTCAGCCTTCTTTACATGAGGATCGTCTTCCAAGAAAGCAAAAACTGAAATTGCCAGGCAGACACCAGAATTGTAACAGCATCACCATTAGCCTGTAAGAGACTGTCACCATTACAGGAAGAAGGAGAGACTCTACCTCTGAGTTGTAAGCACGTACAGAAGTGGAGAAATCACTGGTGGTCACCTCCCACCACGACCCCAGCACACTCCCCTAGAAAGGACTCCTCCAAACACACGATCCTCCGTGCTCAATTCTTTTTAGAACCTCTACCTGTTAGGAATCGCTATCAGCTGACTATTTGATCAGTAATGGAGTGCTTTCTGTTTGTTATTGATCTTGCTCCTTAACCCTACAGTGTCTTCATTTGCTCTCTCATGTAGTTTACACGCATAATTCTCCAGTAGGATTAATATGTGCTGCAAAAATATTCATCAATATTTAGTGATAAAACAGAAGTGATAATACATATGCAGGTATTTGTGTACATCCATAGAAAATATCTGATGGAATAAACAAGAGAGAAAATAATACGGGTTATCTCCAATGACAGGATGGGGAGGGAGGAGAATTCCTCTTTCCATTTCTTTCTGTATGGGTTGACGGTTCTTTACAATGATCATTTAGTGTTTTCATAAGGTAAAAAAGTGATCTCATCCAACAGAATGAAGTCTAACAATACAACAAATGCCTATTGTCAGAAGAATACCAAATAAACCAGGGAGACAGCTCAATTCTGATTTCCGTTTTTAAATAAATAAGCACACTAAGAAAGTTCTAGAATTTATGCCTAAATGCCTATTTGGTATCTGCTGCACCACAGAAATACATGAGAATATCTGTCATGAGTGATGTCTAGTGTGGAAGACGTGTTACATCTTACCCCAAATACCCTCTCTCCCTAGATCAACTGCCTCCACGGACTCTTTGTGCTACTTAACAACTTTTCCTGCTCAAAGAAAATATCAGAAACAATCATCTGGTATCACAGTACAACTATTATTTAAGGCAGTGGCAAACCGCTTTATAATCCCAGAGTATGAGAGCTAGAAGACGCCTCAAAGTCTCTTGGTCCACCAATCCCATTTTACAAGGGGTTTTTAGGCCCAGATTACATAGCTACTCAACGAGGGACGCGGGATGGCAGCCTGGGAAAATTCCTGCTACTCCCTCCGTGATTAAGGACGGGAAGAAAACTTCACTTTTATAAACACCTAAAGAAGTTGATTAGAGAGAAATTTGGTTTACAGATACTTTTAATAGTATTTTGAAGCCTTAGGCAGGGGTGAATGAAGAGAAGGGAAGGCTGCCTAAGGAGGGACGATAAGTAGGGTGGAGGATAGGAGAAGACAGGGATGAGTGAACAATACGATTTCTGAGGCTCAGTCGCTTGCCCTTAAGTGGGGCAATTAATTAGATCAGGGGATGAGGGCTTTAAAGATCAAACATGAAAACGTGAGTTGTTCCATGTTGCTAATTTGCTTCTCCTCCTCAGTGCTAAGATCACTGGGAGAGTACCTCCCAAGAGAACGATGTAAAAGAGGCAGCCGTTACATATGGACTGAAAAAAAGGAAGGGGACCGTGCTCTAGAAAGGAAGGGAACGCCAAGCGGCGGGAATAGAGCAAACAGCGCCACCTGCTGAAGGGCCGGAGTCGGTGTAAATGGCGCACGGCACAGTCGTGGGAGGGGTGGGGGGGTGGGGGGAGGTGTCTTCCGCAGGGCCCAGAACCAGATGATGGATCTATTTGCCGTCTGAACAGGTCATTGTAGAGAGAAAGTTTAATTCTGGATCTCACCAGGCCACTTTGCGCCAGAGAAAGGTCAGCTGGTTCCTGGCAGGAAGGTAAGAGAGTACTGCGTCTCTGCTTGCCTCTCTTCCACGAATATTTATGCCTGTTAGTTCTGAACTTTCCCCCAAGACCGAAACCTCAAAATAATAAAATATACTCTGCTGAGACCAGATAAAAGGGACATGAGAAGAAGGAGCAATACGAAGACGTTTATCCAAGTAACACGTTCACGTGGTTAGGAATTCCTAGTGGCCCACTAAATACCCTTCCCCAGATAAGTGTCTTTTTTTCTTTTACACTTCCCATTTTTTCCTCTTTAAAAAAAATTTTTTTAAGTGATCTCTGCACCCAATACTGTAATCCACAACCAAGAGATCAAGAGTGGCACCCCTTCCTCTTGTACAAACACACGTACGTGGAGAAGGCTGGGAAAGGT